GGGGGGGGGGGGCCAAGCACTGTGCTGTGTTAGCTGGAGGGGAGATGCCTCTTCTGGCGAAGAAAGTGCAGGAGGGAAAATCAAGCAAAGGAGGAGTCTGAAGCTGGAAGCGTGTACTAGAAGCTTATAAAATCCCTGTTACAGCTGTAGCTCGTGGGAGGTAGCCAGCACGTAGCTGTGGAGGGGAAGTGGGTTGAGTTCAGCTGCCTAGTGAGATGCACATGCTCCCCTTGCTTTTATCCAAAGGCTGCTCCTGACATGTTGTAATAGGCCCCTGCCTGAGCTCGAGCAGCGAGGTGCATGTCTTCCAGGTGATGACAGGGTGGCTCTGGGCATGCTTTGTGTGTACTTGGTGAAGGAATGGGCCTCTGATCTGGGAAGGTGATCACCAGCCTCCTTGTGTCCTTCGTTTGGCCACCGCCCCGACTGAGCATCGCAGCTGATGAGGGTGCATGGTGGGAAGGTGCAGAGCAGCACACCTGAGCAGGGTGGAGATGATAAGCTCTCACCTGGCTGGGCTCAGGCAGTCGATGCTTCCTGCCGGGAAGGAGGAGGGACCCTTTAAGAGCTGTGTTCAAATGCTGCTGGGTTAGAACGAAGCTGAAGTTAGAGGCCGGGAAGCATCTGCCGAAATGGCTCCTGGGGGCCTGCGTGAGGGTTGTGCCTCTCTTCAAAATCTGCTCTCTCTTTCCTGAACACAAAGCTCAGGCTTCTGAGGGCGGCCGTGGCAGCGCGGGAAGAGGCAGATTTAAGTTCAGCTGCGGCACACCTGTTCTGGGCTTCCCTTCTCCCACCCCCTTACCTGGCCTAGGAAGTCCTCCAAGGTGGGGACTGGCCCAGGCACTTATCACTCCGCGTTCATTTTGTTCGCTGCCCTTCAGGGCTTGGCACAAACCAGTTTTGAACAAGGAGCCGTTAGGCACGGCCCTGCTGCCCTAGGCAGGTCTTGCCCAAGGTTGCGCAGCAGGGCTGCGTCGCTAGCCCAGCAGCTAAGGGAAGGAAGTTCCTGTTCTTCGGCCGTGATTTCAGGGCAGATGCTGCTCTGGCCGCTTGGTTCGTGGGGGGGGGGCTTTTCACGGTGCAGTGGGGCTCTCTAGCAAGGGTCAGCACTGACAGGGTTGTCTCTCTCTCCGCAGGGGACACTACACAGAAAATGAGATCTGCACAGTATCCTACCCCAGCAGAATTGGATGCTTATGCTAAGAAGGTCGCCAACAACCCACTGACTATAAAAATATTTCCCAACAGCGTCAAGGTTCCCCAGAGGAAACACATACGCCGTACTGTGAACGGACTCGATACTTCAGGCCAGAGGTACAGTCCTTACCCGCCTCAGGCCACCACCAAAACCGGCCTGCTGGCGATCGTGAAATCTCCCGCAAAGGGCATCCTCAAGGACTTTGACGGGACCCGCACGCGCCTGTTGCCGGACGCCATGATGAACCCCCCTTCCACACCGTATGTTGCACCTAGCACTTTAAGCCACCCCCAGGCGCTCGCACGCCAGCAGGCTCTTCAGCATGCACAGACTCTGCCGCACCCCCAGAGCATCCCGCAGCACCCTCAGGGCATCCCGCAGCCGCAGGCTTTGCCACACCCTCAGAGCATGCCGCCGGCCCAGGGCTTGCAGCACCCCCCGAGCCTGGCACACCAGGCGCTGCAGCACCCCGCGAACCCGCTGCTGCAGCCAGGTTTACATGGAAGCAGAAAGATGCCGGATGCAGACGCGCCGCCGAATGTGACCGTGTCTACCTCAACCATCCCCCTCTCCATGGCTGCCACTCTGCAGCAGAGCCAGCCGCCAGACCTGAGCAGCATCGTGCACCAGATCAACCAGTTCTGCCAGGCGAGAGCTGGCATTAGCACTACCTCAGTCTGTGAGGGACAGATTGCAAACCCCAGCCCCATAAGTCGTAACCTGCTTATCAATGCAAGTACCAGGGTATCAACTCACAACGTCCCCACGCCCATGCCTTCCTGTGTAGTTAACCCTGTCGACCACGCTGCTGCTCTGCCCTCCGCCTCCGTTAATGTGCCCATGGTGAACGTTAACAGAGTGCCGGCTGCGTACCAGAGCGAAATCAAAGCGGCCGCCTGGAACCAGCACCAGCTCGCCCATCTGCAGCAAATGTGCGGTGACGCGGCTGGGCCTGCTGGACTTGCCGGGAAGCACCCTCAGAGAGAGCTTGCAGGGCCAGGATTCCCTGGTAAGACATCCAGCTACCCTCAAGAACTGTGCATGGGCCAGTCTTTCAACTTAAAGCCTCCCCTCGAGAAGCCTACACCTTCCCCGCCTGTGAACGGGTTGCAGGGCCCCTTGCCATATACGAATGGGCACTATTTCCAGCCCATATGGAATAACATTCTGCCCACACCGAACAGTGACAGCTCTGGGTCGCAAGACCTTGCCATGCCTTTTCACGGAGGACAGCCAGCAGGCGCGCCGCTAGATTGTGCAGCAGGAACTCACTATCGAGCTGGAGCTGGCTCATCCAGCCAGAGTAACGTGATGCAGACCATGGATTACCTAAGCGGGGACTTCCAGCAGTCTTGCTTCAGAGATCAGAGCATGGCCGTGCTGGGAAAAGTCCATCGGCCTCCCATGAACCGAGCGCCTGAACCAACTGATAGTCGAAATCTTCATATTCAGCACCCAGGGTATAGATAGGCTGCAGTCACTTTCACAGACAAAATTATAGGTTTAGTCTTAATTTTAATTAATAAGCAAGGCATTTTTAACTTGCAAACTTGTGTGATCATTATAGTAACCATTGAAACAAAACAATACTGTATATTTAAAAGCTTTGCCTCCGCGTTGCCTGTCTCCTTTTGCGTCCGGTACTTCACATGCCTTTTGTTTCAAAGAGCTGGCTCACGCTATCGCATGCCACAGCCGTTTCTTCACCACAGAATCCCCTCTGCACAGCCTTTGCCTTCTGCTTGGTAACTATTTGCTGGCCTCGCGTTGTTGCGGCAGGGTTCACAGCTGCATTTTTTAGCCGGCTCTTTAAAGAGCCAGGTACCAATAGCTGCTTACATTTCCATTTCAATTTCCTCTGATGATTAAGAGCAAGAGAATTTGTCAGGAAGCAGGGCTTGTTTTCAACCCTGAAGTCCATTTCATTACATGCATTAAACATTGACCATTTGCACTGTCTAGAGGCCTGTTTAATTGAAAAGGAAGCCTGCTTCTGAAAGGATCCAGCTAGGGTTATCTATTTAGGCATTAACATATAGGCTGAAGCTCTTTTTGCTGGCGCTTGCAGAGTTCTGCATTTATCGTTTAGACTTTGTCCAAAGTCGAAGTCCCTTACCAATTTTTTTTCTGAACACTTCGTTGAGGACAGGGTATGAGGGGGGTGGCAGTTTTAGGATGTAGGCTGCCCAGCTGCGTTGGTGGCTGCCGCCGCCTCCATCTGATTTCCCTTCCCCCTCGCTGTTTGGAAAGCTAACTATGTCTGAACCCCTCGCTGCTAGGAGTCTGGATGTCCTGATGCAAAGTGCTGTAGTGAGGTTTTATCCCAGGGATCCAGACCCGCTGACCACCCCAAAAAGGGTTCGGGTTCTCCCCGAGTAGATAGGATTAATTTCAGGGTGGGGAGGCATCAAAGGAGGTCCGTCTCCAGTGCAATGGAAGGGGCACAGGGCGGCGTGGCAGTCTCACATTCCAGCGGCAGGACCTGTGCCAGGGGAGGTATCGGCTGCCAAGTGACGCTCCAGTCTCGAGATGTGGTGGGGCATACGTTAACGCGCCACAGGAGAGGTTTTCTCTGGGAAATGCTACAAAGCTATTTAGAAAGTAGCTTTTCCCCAGAGTCTCGGTGCCTAACTACTTCTCTTCTCTTCTCTCCCCCACCACTGACAGCGTAGCTGAGTTGGTGACCAGTACAAAGAACACTAACCCTTGGGTAACCTCGGTGTCTCGGTCTCTTCAGTGCATCGAAAACTCCCTTCTGTTTTTTTACTAGTTCGGTTTGTTGTGCGTAGGAAGCTTCTCATCTGCAACGAGACTAATACTTGAATGTAATGATCACAATCAAGTTTGGAATTTAAAAAAGAAAAGTAAATGCATCGATTCTTTATATGTACACTGGCTAAAAATATTGCTCTACACTGTAACTTTTAAGTGTAATATTTCTGTATGAATGTCGCCTGGTAGTGTGGGTTTGAGTAGCATTGTGTATGAGTGAACCCACTGGCCTCTGCCATTCACTGGCCTCCCCTCACAGCCCTTTGAAAAACAAAGCCTTAAGTATTTGCTCCTTGAACTGTCCTTAATGAGCATGGTTTAAAATCTTAAGACATCATACAAAATTTAAAAAACAAACAACAAACCTACAAGTTTTGAAGTGACGTCCTAGTTGGCTAGAGATTCTTAAAGTTTTTCGTAAATGGGAAAATTAGAAAACGTTTCTTTGTATTTTTTTAATTTAGACGTGTAGTTCTGGGCTGTAACAAATATTTAGGTTTCAAAGCTTAGCAGAGTACGTTTTCTGACTCCTTGCGTAAGGCAGTACACTTATACCCTGTCATTATTTAAATTCTTTTAAGTGTACTATAACCGTTCTTTAGTGATAACTCTTTAGCAAAGTTAAGCAATTTGACTAAAGACGGATTAAATTATGTGTTGGCTTGTGTTGCCTTATATTTAAAAAGGAAAAATTGCCTGATTGTGTTATGCCAAATGATAGCAACATGAAGTCCTAATTTATTGTTTATAATCGTATTCCTGAAGTCTTTGTGAAAACTGGTAAATATACATCTATGAAAGAACAAAAATCCTGAGGCTTTTCATGCAATATTTTTCTGAATACATTATCTTGGAAGCCAAGGTTTGAGTCTGAAGCTGCTTCCTTCTCTTCTCCCTATTGTCTTTCCCTCCCCCAGATTGATCTAGGGCTGTGCTATGACTTTAACATGCCCTGCTAAGTTAATTACTGTGAGGTGTCTGCGACCTGGATACAAGCCTTTTTACTAAATAAAATATTGGTATCTCCTCTCTGCATTAGCCTGCTACACCTATGAACCCAGACTGTTATTTAAAACTAACGTTCCTTCTGCTCTCCTCCCAAAAGAATCGCCGCAGCCCCGTGTTGTGGCTCGTGGCAGAAAGCGATTAAGGTGCTGGCAGTTATGCTGATGTTACAGTAAGCCATGGAAGACACTCCGTGAATCTTGTTCTGCCCTGGTAACTGCCCCCAGCACTGCCGATGTGGGCATCAGGACTGGGAAGCAAAAATATTCCCAAGTCGCATACATCTAGGCAGGACGTTGCATTAACCTGCTCGAAAAACACCGTTTTGCTCTTACAAGCCACTACAATGTGACCCCCCCTCTATTCCAGGAGTCACGTTCTTATTTTTCTGTAAAAAAACAAACAAACAACCCCCCACACACACGCACACACCCCCCTTCATTTCTGCATTGGCCTGTGGCGAACAGCTTTCTGTTCTAGCAAACTCTCCTGACTCGAGGGCCTGACGCTTTTTAAAATACTTTGATTCATTCCACTTTTGCTTTAGAAATGCAGCTTGTCAGATAGACTGACCCCAACGGGAGCCCAGCAAGGCTCTGATGGTTTAATCAGGCCATCCTGCGCTGCGCAGGGGGCTGGATGAGTTGACCTCGCGAGGTCCCTTCCGGCCTCACTTCCCGAGGATGAGGGGGTGCCTGAATGTGCTGCGCTCGGCAGGAGAACGAAGGGAGTGCTGCGCTGGCCCCGCAGCCGGAGCCCGGGAGTACCTCCTCCCCCGGGTCTGCCGTAGAGCGGTGCCTGTGCCTCTGCGTGGCAGGAGCTGCACGTCCGACCCTCAGCAACACTTCGCAGGGTTCCTGCGGCCGGGCGTTTCCCCTCTCTCGGTCCTGCTGATGCAGAGACAAGCTGCTTGTTGTCAGTCCTTGCTCCGTGCAGTGCCGAAGGCTGTGGAAGTGCCTCCAGTGGGGTGGGAGCTGTGGGCGTGTAGGCCATCCTTGTAGCCATCTAGGGTTTTTCCCTGGGGGCAGCAAAGACGTGGGGGCCTGGCGTTGGAGCATGCACCCCCATTCCAGACCGAGCGCTGCGGCTTCCTGCTGCCTCCCCTCAGCAAGGCCAAGGGCTTTGCAACCTGGAGCGCAAGCATCTGGCTTCTGTGTCTCCCTGCCTGCCTGTGGATGCCTGGACAAAGGGACTCTACCCCTGGGCTAGCATAAGGACCAGGGGTCTTGCGCGCTTTCTCCTCGGCAAGTTCTGGCCTGCTCCATGCTGTGATCTCGGCACCACGCCGCCCTGCGCCAGCTCGGCAGAATATGGCGCTTGTGATGGTTTCTAGTGACTCTTCCCACTGAAGTTTTGTGGTGGTCAGACACCGAAGCGATAAGTGGGGAAGTGGTGGAAAGCCTTCCAACGGGAAGCTTCCCTCTCTCCTGTGTCGTTTATTAAGCGGGGGCGTTGAAGCTGTTCAATCACATGCCCAATTTGTTACAGCCCAAAGGTAACATTTTATAGTGGCGCTTGTGATTTTTTTTTTTTTCCCCTTAAAATCTTTTCTTGAAGCTTCTGCTGCGACAAGAGATCTCCACAGGACTTGGCCATTCCCGTAGAAACTGAGCAGAAATGTTTGCAGTGGAGAGAATTGGGACTTGTATTTCATGAAACACACACTGATTTATTCTATGCGCTGCTTCTCACGTGCTACGGGTATAAACTAGAACCTTTTTGTCCACAGGAGAAATAAAAAGTAAAGCCAAAAAAAAAAAAAAAGACCTGTTCCTGCTGCCCCTTCTGCGGTCTTTGTGCTGTGAGTGATTGAGGCTGGCTGGGCCTGTGGTGCTCAGCTGCAGAAAAGGCAGAACCACGGGCATGGTGCCTGGAGGAACGGTCCTGTGTCTGTTCCTTTGTGGGGAGGGGACCGGCTTTCCTTCTTGCATTCCTGGAGCTATTAGTGCAGTTGGTACTTCTGCTATCCTGAGACGCGCTAAAAACATGACATGGTGCAGTGGCATGGCGACGTAATGTTCTCCTTAGCCCTCTGGCCAAGCTCTGCATTGCTGGAAGCAAGAGGCAGATACCAAGTTTAATATAGCAAAATATGAAAGCCAATATTTAACGCACACTGTTTGTGCCAAAGCCTCAAACATGGGTGAAGCAACATGGATCTAGTCAATGGGGCTAGTGGCACAGCAGACGCGGGGTCTGTTCTAGCTCTGATGCTGCAGCGCCCTGGGGTGCCTCCAGATCCTTTTAAGGGTGCTGTGTACTACCACCATTGTGTGCAAACACCGCCACAATTTGCAGGCACTTAAAAAGGAGCGCAGGGTGTCAGACCCTTCTGCCCCGCGGTTTTCTGTGCTCTTCGCAACCTAGAGAACTATCTTGTTCTTTATCTGCATGCGAAAGATGAGTGAGAGCCGAGAGCTGGCCTTCTCCAAGGGGGCCCTTCAGTCTAAAAATGTTGAGCCACTGCTTCAGGGGAAGAGGCAGCCGCTGGTGGTGTTGCTTTAAAACCCATCTCATGGTCAAATTGTTGAGCCCATAGTCCCCTAGATTTACCTTGACAGCCCCATGGGACACCAAGTCAAAGCCCTTCCTAAAGTCCAAGTAAATGACTCCATCCTCCTGTCCCGTACCCAGGTGGTGAGTAACCTGTCGGAGGAGATGATGTTAGTCAGACTGACCCACAGCAAAGCGGTGCTGCCTGTCCTTCAGGATTTTGCCTTCTACTAGCTTATATATGGACTCCTTGAGACATTTTTGGAGGATTTTTCCTGGGATTGAGTTCAGGCCCATTGGCCTATAGTTCCCTGGGTCCCCTCTCCTCCCCTGCTTGAAAATGGGCACAACATTGGGCCTCTTCCAGACTCCTGGGACCTCTCCTGAGCACCATAAATTGTCAAAGAGGTTCGCCAGCAATGACTTCAGCAGACGGAGTCATCCCCTCCACAACCGCCAACCCCAGAGTCCCGGCATCCGCCAGTGCCGAGACGTTGGGGGTATGGTTTTCAAGGGAGGGGCTGCCATTTTGGGGGAGGGGTCTGCCAATGGTTGGGGCCAGGGTAAAGTGACGGAAGTTGCCCCCCCAGGCACAGCCATCCTGAAGCCCCCTCGGCCTGTTGCATGTCTTTTGGGGGGAGAAGGGGAGTGGCGCTGCTGAGCCAGTGCTACGGTGTGTGTGTGTGCGTGTGTGTGCGCGCACGCGTGCACCCACGTGCCCCCCCTCCGCCGGGGCGCAGCGAGGACCCTCAGCGGTGGCGGTTGCGCCTGCCCCGGCCGGGGGCTCCAAGCACAGCCGGGTCTCGGGTCTCGGTGCGGGCCCGGGCCCCATCCCCGCCGTCTCCAGGCTGAGGCTCAGCAC